GCCTCACGCCCCGCCCCCGGTGCGCCGAGCCACGCTGTCCCCGAGCCCGGCCGCGCCGGCGCGTTGGTTCCGAGGGCGCTGCCGCTGCGGCTGCTTTTTCCACCCGTGCCGCTGCGTGGTAGGAGCGCTGCCTGCGGACGAGGGTGCTGGTGACAGGCCCGTCGCGATTGCAAAACTGCAGCTAAAACAGCTGCGTAAGTCCAGGGTTAGCTTGGATGAGGTGCCAGACACGCAGACATTCTGGATGTGTGAAAAGTGCCATTTTAAAAATAAAACCTTGCTCTACTACAGTTCTGTGACCTTGTTTGCAAACAGGCCCCAATTAAAAAACAAACGAATAGGTTTAGGCCTCCTACCTTCCCAGGTGTCCAGATTCTTATGACATGGGAACCGCTGTGAACGTAATTGTATAATAAGGCAGGACTGGTTCACTTCTGGGAGTGAGCTTGTAGGTCTTCTAAACAATACCTTAGCGTGCATAACAGTTTATGCTGAGGCAGATGGATCTCTGTGAGTTCAAGGCCAGCCTGATTACATAGCGATACCCTGTCTCAAAAAAAACCAAAAACCAACACACACACGCAAAGACAGCCACATAATTAAGCAGATAGTTAAATGGCTTAGTCAAACGGGAGATTTATTGTGGGAAGGGAGGGCTGTACTAGGTATTACAATGAGGGCTCAGCATTGCCTTACAACTGCAACCCTTTTTTCATTTTTTGCCATACACTTTCCAATTCTTTTATATATTTTCATCATTTTTTTCAATTTTTATTAGTACATGTTTGTAGTGTATAGTGATCACATTCCTCCTAGCGACTTGGTACATGAACATAACACATCTTAAATCTTTGTCCATCCCCTTTACCTCCTTTCCTCCTCCCTCCATTTCTTGGTCCCCTTCCCATCTGCAAAAGATCTATTCCCTAGTTCCTCCTATTATCTTTTATTTTGCTCTTTATATTTTGGGTTTCTCATATAAGAAAAACCATGCAGCCGCGTATGGTGGTCCACTCCTGTAATCCCAGCACTCTAGAGGCTGAGGCAGGAGGATCCTTTTGAGTTCGAGGCCAGCCTGGGCTACAGAGTGAGCTCAAGACCAGCCTGAATTGCACAGGGAGACCCTGTCTCAAAAAGAAATTTAAAAAAAAAAGAAAGAAAGAAAAAATTCATGTGATATTTAAGCTTGTGTGTCTGATTTAGTTCACTTAATATTATAGACTCAACGTGCATCTATTGTGTATAAAAACTATCCATTCATCTGCTGATAGGTAGGCCTGGTCCATTATTTAGCTATTATGAATTGTGCTGCTATCAACATGAGTGTCAATGCATCACCATAGTATGATGTCTTTCACTCTTTCAGGAAGATATTTAGGAGAATAGCTGGTTTGAATGCAATTTCTACTTTTAGTTTTTTGAGGTATCTTTATGAGTTCCATAGTGGTTGTACTAGTTTACATTCCCACCAAGAATGTAGAAGGGTTCATTTTTCCCCACATGCTCACCAGCATTTGTTACTATTTAATTTCTTGATTATAGCCATTCTTACTGGAGTGAGATGAAATCTCAATATTGATTTAATTTGTATTTTTCAAATGGTCAGATGTTAACATTTTTTCATGTATTTATTGGCCATTTGTACTTCTGAGAAGTGTCTGTTCATTTCACTGGCCCATTTTTTGATTGGGTCTTTTATTTGGGGGGGGTTCTAATTTTCTGAGTTCTTTACATCTTCTAGATATTAATCTCCTGTCTGAGGAATAGCTGACACAGTTATTTCCCATTCCATAGGTTGTCTCTTCACTCTTACTTATTTCCTCTACTGTGCAGAAACTTTATAATTTGATATGATGCCACTTGTTGATTCTTGGTATTATTTCTTGTGTAATTGGAGTTATATTCAGAAAATCCTTGTCTCTGCTTATGTCTTCAAGAGTTTTACCTATTTTATCTTTAGGCAGATTGTTTCTGTTTTAACATTTAGATCTTTGATCCATTTTGTGTTAGTTTAGTACATGGTGAGATCTATGGGTCTAAATTCAGTTTTCTGCATGTCATAGCCAGTTTTCCCGGCACCATTTGTTAAAGAGGTTTTCTCCCAGAATATGTTTTTGGCCCATTTATGAAGGATTAGATAGCTCAATGTGCCAAGAGTTGCTTCTGCATCCCCTACTCTATTCCATTGATCAGTGTGTGTGTTGCCAATACCGTGCTATTTTTCACTACAGCTTTAAAGTGTAATTTTAAGTCTGGCATTCTGACACTTCCTGCTTTGCCCTTGTGGCCCAGCAATGCTTTTGCTATTCTGGGTCTCATGCAGTTACATATGAATTTTAGGATTGTTTTTTCTAGTTCTGTGAGGAATGCTGTAGGTACAGTATTTTGATTAGGAGTGTATTAAATCTGTATAGCAGTTTTGGAAGTATGGCCATTTTGAAAATATTGGTTCTGTGTTTCCAAAAACAGGGGATATATTTTCATTTTCTGGTGTCCTCTTCAATCTCCTTTTTCAAAATACTTTAGTTGTCATTATAGAGGTCTTTCACTTCCTTTGATAGGTTTACTCCTAAGTACTTAATTTTCTTGAGGCATTTTGCTGGTATTTTCTTAATTTCTTTCATAGTGGGTTTATTGTTGGTCTACAGGAATACTACTGATTTTTGTGAGCTGCTTTTGTATTCTGGTACCTTGCTGAATTTGTTTATTAGTTCTTTTGGTGGAATATTTTGGGGTGTTCTTTGTAAAAGATCATACTGTCTGTGAATAAGGATCCTTTGACTTATTCCTTTCTGATATGTAAACCTTTTATTTGTTTTTCTTGCCTGGTTATTCTAAGTTTCAAGTTGAACAAGAGTGGTAAGGATGGAAATCTTTTTCTTAGTCCTGATTGTAGAGGAAACGTCTTCAGTTGGTAGTAGATTTGTCATGAGTGGCTTTTATGAGATTGAGAAAAGGTCATACTATACCTATTTTCTTCAGTATTTTTTATCATGAATGGGTGTTGGATTGTTGCATCTATTGATCATGTTATTTTTGTTCTTGCTTCTGTTTAGGTGATATATTATTTGCACATGTTGAATCATCTCTGTATGCCTGGGATGATTCCTACTTGGTCAAAATGTATGATCTTTTCGATGATTTGTTGCATTGTCTGCCAGTATTTGTTCGAGATTCTTGCATCTATGTTTATTAAAGAGATTTGCCTGTAGGTCTCTCTTTTGGTTGAATCTTTATCTGGTTTTGGAATCGGGGTAATGCTAGCTTCCAGGAATGACTTTGGAAGTACTCCTTCCTACTCAATTTCACTGAGGAATTTGGGGAATATTGGTATTAGATCTTTCCTAAAGTTTTTGCAGAATTCAGTGGTGAATTCACTGGGACCTGGACCTTTCATAACTGCTAGGTTTTTTTTCTGCTTCAATTTCATTACCTGTTACAGGATTATTCAGGGTTTTGGTAATTCTTGTGTACCTAGGAATCTATCCATTTCTTTTATATATATATATAGATATACATATATACTTAAAATGTTAAACTTTATTTATTCACACTTTTAAATAAAGCCTTAGTTTGAATTTTTAAATAAAGTTTATTGCTATAGTTTAGATATACATAATGATCACATTAATCATAAGGAATTTATATCTATCTATATATATCTATATGTATTTGTTTTTGTTTTTGAGACAGGGTCTTTCTATTAGTTCAGTTTGGCCTTGAACTCACTATGTAACCAAGGCTGGCCTTGAACCCACGGGTATCCACCTGCCTCAGCCTCTGGAGTGCTAGGATTACCGGCATGTGCCTCCATGATTTGCTGCACATGTTATATCTTGATTTCTCTCTTTTTTTCCTCATCTCTATCCATTTCTTCTGAATTCTAATTTATTAGATTACAGGTTCACAAATTAGTTACTGATGATTAGGATTTCAGTGATAACTTTGCATTTCTATTTGCGTTTATTTATGTCTTTTTTTCCTTTTCTTGGTAAGGTTGACTAGGGGTTTATCTATTTTGTTTATTCTTTCAAAGAACCATCTCTTCAGTTCATTGATTCTTTATTATATTATTTTTTAGTCTCAATTTCACTGATTTCTTCTTTGATCTTTATAATTTCCTTTCTTGTACTAGCTTTGGATTTGGATTATTCTTGTTTTTCTAGAACTTTGAGATGCATCAAGTTATGTATTTAGGGTTGTTCTGTTTTTCTAATGTGGACATTTGCAGCTGTAAACGTCCCTCTTATGACTGTTTTCATTGTGTCTCATAAGTTTTGGTACATTATAGTGGCATTTTTATTTGATTCAAAGAACTGCCTAATTTTTTCCTTGACTTCTTCTGTGACTCATTGATTATTCAAGAGGATATTATTACATTTCTATGTATTTGCATAATTTTTATGGTTTCCTTTGCCATTGATTTCTAATTTCATTGCATTATGATCTAATGATATACATAGGATATTTTTTATTCTTTTGGATTTACTTAAGCATGCTTTATGGGCTAAGTTAAACTTATCAGGATGTCTATGTCTAGCCTATACCCTCCCCATGACTCTCCCATGGCCATCTCTCACCCAGTCACTGTGGGAGGATTATAGTGGGAACCCTGAAGTGAAGTTATTTTTTCATCATTCTGAGTCTCCATTTTAAATAATCAACCCATTCCCCAAATGGAGCCTGATTAAACGCTCTATAGTAATATGGCAGCACTTTGCTGAATTTCTTCTCCAGCTGTCACCTGGTATGTGGCAGGAGTCACCTCTGAGTAAAACTTCATGCTGTTTCTGCATCTTACAAGAGCTGTTAACTTTTCTTGAGGCTAACGCTGCCAGCCCAACCTGTTGTTTCTCTCTGGAGT